CAAGGGCTGAGCGGTTCAGAGTCACCAAGGAATCTACTGGAAAATTCTTAACTCAGTAGATCTAGAGCAGGGCCCAGGTGCCTCTGTGCTTTGACCAGCTCCTTGTGTGCATACCCGGTAGAGAGCCACTGAACCAAAGAAATGAGATTCTGAGCATTTCAGACACTGAGTAACTATAGGAGTTTTGGGGTTTGTGTGTGTGTGTGTGTGTATGTGTGTGTGTGTGTGTGTGTGTTTGTGTTTGAGACAAGGGTATAGGGAAGCAGGAAGAGGAGTTACAATGATCTTTTCAGTGCCCCCAAATCCGGCCAGGCGGGAGGGGCCCACAGGAGGCCGGCCTTCCCAGCAGGGGCCCCTCTTGTCCTAGAGCTGCTAGCTCCGAACACCCTGCCACTTCAGAGGTGGGGTCAGCCTGGGACTGTGGGCACCCCGTTTGAAGTTTCAGATACTCTCTGACCACTCGGGGCTTCCTCCTTGTGTGACATTCAGATCTACGGCTGCTGGAATAAAACCCTTCTTTCTTGCCTTTGTCTTGCTTTGGAACCGGCTGCCGGAGCCAATTCACAGTGTCACCTCAGAGGCCACTCCGGGCTGTGACCCCCTGTGCAACTGTCATAGCCAGAATCCTGTGCTTGAAAGGAGGGCCCCCTGTGCCTCCTGTCAGGTGACTGGAGGCTCTGTCCCTGGCCACAGTCCCAGTGGGCGCGGAGACCTACAAAGCCCGAATGGCCCTCAGTCACTCCCTCTTCCTCTGTTCTTGCTCAGCCGCTTTTGTTCCCTTCGCTTTCAGTTCCCAGCACCTCTTTCTCTTCGGAGAAGACTGATAAGCCCAACCTCAGGAAGCATCAGAAGCGGCCAGGGGCTGTCTCCTGGTGGGGTTACAATGCATTTCACTAGGCAGACATCACCTTTGGCAAGAGCCCACTGGTTGCCATGACAACGTGGACAGCTTGTGTCTTAGGGATATGTTGTGCCCTCATTCTGGCTGCCCCGAGGTCCCTTGCCCCAGCTTTCTTTCCCACATCCTTTCAATAGGCTCACAGCATCCTGGCGCCAACTCACATGAACCATTCTTTAGTTCGGAGCAGCTTTGTCTCGATCAGCAAAACACTGCTGGACTTAGCTATCAAAGGAATAGATCAAGCTATTTCTCTCCTCAAAAGGCTCCAGCCTCTGTCTGTCTCAAAGCTAAGATCCTTAGCAAGGTCCTACACGATCTGGCCTCACCTCCCACCACTCTCCCTTACCAACTTTTCCAGACACACTTGCCTTCTCCCTGCTTCTCAGAAGTACCCTGCAGATGTACCTCAGGCCCTTTGCACTTACAGCTGTACTCTGTCCTGATTTCTGCATGCTCGTTCCCTCCCTTCATTCAGGTCTCTGCTACCTCCTCAGAGACACCCCACCCCCGACCAATCTACCTAACATAGCAGCCCTCCACCCTTTTTCCAGCTTTGTCTCCTCAAGGTGCCCTTCAGCCCCTGCCATTATATCAACTCAGTTTTTGGTGGGGAAAGCTCATTTGTTCCCTGAGCGAATAAATGACCAGCCATGGATTCAAAGCTGCCTTTTCTATCTGGTAGCTGTATGGCATTGTGCAAGCTACCTGGTCCCACAGGCCTCTGAAAAACGGAAGTGATCATATCTGCTAGCTGGAATGACAGGAATAAATGAAGCAGCACCGAGCATGGAACCAAGCACTTGCCTCGCAAATGGTAGCTGACATCGTCTCCCATCTTTGTGTCAGCTGCTTTCACAGTAATGCTCTCCTTGCCCCAGGCTCCCGGACGCCCACACATCCCCCCAAGGCACCTGCCACTGTGATATGCCCGGAAGCCTGCAAGAGGCCCAAGAAAAAGACAGCCAGCAATGGGGCGAGGCAAGAGCCCTCTGCTGCAAACGGGCAGGGGCAGCCACAGCCTCAATATGGGAGACAAGGTCATCTCGGCCTCCCCGCTACCCAGCCTCCACCAGGCTGGGTGAGACGCCCCTGTGCGGATCCAGTGGCTCTGGCCTCACCCGCCTCTGGCGACCTCTCATGCAGAGTGCGGCTGAAGCCTGCCCAGCCCGCCAGAGAGCAGGTCTTCACTGATTTTCTCAGGGGTTTCCTTGGTGTGGAGCCAAAACAGTGTTAAAAGGAAGAAGGAGATTCATAGCTTTTCTTTTTCAATAGGCTGGAAGATATATTTGCTCATGTCTGAAATTGCTACGAGATGACAATACGTTCTGTCGATTTCAGGTCCTACCAGGAACAGTGTGATGTGAACAGACTGTCTTCAGTTTATCACATCTGACGTTTCTCAGAGGGCAAGGGCCGGTGCACGGGTGTAGCGCTGAGTGAGTGTACACTGCATGTGCAGCCTAAAAATAGCACAGGGGAGATACGGAGAACAGAGGGACCTGTCCCTCCCCTCCAGGGGCTTCCGTACCTGTGCCTGGTGGGGCATGGACAACGTGGACAGGCAGCCAGCTCCTCGGGGCTGGAGGGCACCACACCATCATGGGTGACGTGTCATCTTCACTTGGCGAGTCTAATAGTATCTGCATCTCCTGTGTTTAGATGATGGATAAGACACTTGTCCAGTGGGTTTACAAGAGACAGTTGTCACCTGACACAAGAGAGGGAGAGTATCAGTTGCCTGGAAGATAAAGGACAGACTCCTGATCTGCTTAGCATATTTATCGAGGAGTTAGATGGTGACATAAAAGGCAGCCTAAAGGCAAAGAATAAAAGCATGGCGGAATGAGGACCTCTCGGAAGGCTAAACCCCCAATAGATGGGAAGTGTTGCGTTTAGGATCAAAAGGACAGTCACACTGAAATAGGATGTGTTTTGACAACTACTCATAAAAATATGAGTCTTTAACCATAAGTTTAATAGAGGCTGGTGACAAACTGACATGGCCATGGCAATGACAAAGTTGCTGAAAAACAAAAACGGCCCTGGGGAGGCTGCCTGATAGAAGCATTCAGCTCTTTAGAACCAGAAAAATTTGATTTCAAATCCCATCTCTGCTTCTTAGTAGCTGTGTGACTTTAGGTTATTCACAGTCCTCTCTGAGCCTTAGAATCTAACTGAAACGAGATGGTAAGACCCTTGTGATTATGTTGGAATTTGGTGGTAAGGGAGTGGGGCACCCAGCCCAGTGCCTAGGAGAACTTGGCAGCACCTGGCATAAAGTAGGCATTCGATAAATGGTCACTGCCAGTAATTTACCTGCTATAGAAATACAGAATGTACATTTATAACAGCTTGGAGGGCCATTCTGTACCATGTCCCTTTCAAACCTATCTGGAGCATTATGTCCTGATTTAGACTGTGATCCTTAAGATTAGTCAGAAAGCAACCATGTCACTGAGTCCTTAGGTGAGGGAACTGGGCAGACGCAGCCAGTGAATAAAGCTCCAGATACATGGTTGGTACGTTATTTTGTTGTTGATTTGTTGTTGTTAAAATCTCTAAAAAAACATCAAGTTAAGAAGGGAGACATGCTATGCAGCTTCAAAGATCCAAAGTCAACGGGAAAAGAAGTCAGTGGGGCAGATCTCAGCTCAAAGTAAGAGGAAACAGAGCTGCCCACAATGAAATGGGCTACCGTGCAAAGCAGTGAGCTCCCCACCACTGGAAGTATTTGGGCAGAAAGCAGATGACCGTCTTTCAGAAATGTTAACAGAAGGAATTTCTGAATCCAGGGCCCTTCCAACCAAACAAAACTGGATTTGGATCCAGGTTCCTGAAGTTAGCCTCGTGGCCTTGGCCAAGTCAACCTCTTTGAACCTCAGTGCCCTTCTCTGCAAAATGCAAACAATAATGCTTCAAATGAGTATTAGAAGGATTCAGTCTAGAGCACCTGGGTGACTTAGTCGGTTGAGCATTTGACTTTGGCTTAGGTCATGATCTCACAGTTTGTGGATTCGAGCCCCTTTGTCGGCTCTGCTGACAGCTCAGAGCCTGGAGCCTGCTTCCGATT